GGCGTATCTAAAAAAAACATGGCCGCCATCGGCCAATGAAGTTTGAGCATCTATGAAACAAGGTTAACGAAGGCCGATCGGAACGAAACTCGTTGGGCATGTTTGACTCATGGCCCTAGAGGTCTGTAAGAATTTTGAAAGAAATCAGCCACTAGTTGGCGCTAACGAGATTTATTGCTCTGTAATCACGTGGTGTTGCACACACCCCCACAAAATGTATATCAATTGATAGATCTCCTCATGATGAACAACTTTGCCTCAAGAACCATTGCTGTCAATCAATTCGTTCGTTAAATATTTACGAATATGTTAAAAACGTACTTTTGCGAACTAGTCCCTGTTTTTTTGCCGGATCGGAACCAGACCAGTCTAGGATAATTCTTTGGACACTCTAGATCAATAATTATCAAAAAAAGTTGAACTTTGTCATTTGTTTCGCTATAACAGGGTCATTTAAAAAAGGGGGCATGACAAAATGCACCCAAAAGCCTATAAATCCTAAAGGAAAAGTCAGAACTTCACAAAAATTGATGAGCACATGTGTCATAACTTATTCAACAAGCATGCAAAGTTTCATGGAGATCGGACTATAGGTGGCGCTATAACTGTTAAAAATGTTAAAAACAATGTATTCCCTATGGTAAATTGCCATTATTGAAACTTAAACCTTAATGTCTTTTGATGCTTTTGTGCTTAAAGGCCTTAAAGGCCTAAACTGCTTGAACCCCGCTAAATGCTGCTTGCAGCTTTAATTATTATATTATTATTATTCCCCTAAAACGCATCGTGCAGCCCAAACCGTAAGGGCTAGAGCTCTGAAAACTTTGTCAGATGGTAGTACAAAAATCGAGGAGAGGTTATCAAATTATGAGCCCGATTGGCCCATAGGTGGCGCTATAGCGACCAATTGCGCGAAACGGCTCATAACTCCTAGACCGTAAGTCGTACACTCAAGTGTCTTATATCATTGGAAAGCTGGTCACCTGACGAAAAAAACGTTTATCTCCGATTTCATTTCCGGTATGGAAATTTTTCCGCCATTTTGAATTTTGTCGAAAACTACTTTTGCGAACTAGTCCCTGGTTTTTGCCCGATCGGAACCAAACCAGTGCAGGAATGTTCTCTGGAGTCTGAAGATCAATAATTTATCAAAAAAATGTTGAAAAAGTCTCTTTGCGGTCGCTAGGGGGCGCAAAATAAATGTTGTGGGAGGAGCCCTATTTTACTAAAATGGCTATAACTCGAGAAGTAAATGAGATATCCTCAACAAACTCGGTACACATATGTATAAGCTCAATTTGAGGTCACAGTAAAAAAATCCCCACGATGGAACACTAGGTGGCGCTATAAAACGAATAAAAACTAAAAAAGGGCTCTGACCAGCTGACCGTTAGTCCGATTGACTTGAAAATTGGTATGCAGTGTCTTGGTCCAAGGGCCCCATGTATGTGTATGAGGACATTGGTGTATCTCAAAAAAATGGCCGCCATCGCCATGAAGTTTGAGCACTATAAAACAAGGTTAACGAAGGCCGATCGGAACGAAACTCGTTGGGCATGTTTGACTCATGGCCCTAGAGGTCTGTAAGGAATTTGAAAGAAATCGGCCACTAGTTGGCGCTAACGAGTTTTATGGCTCTGTTATCACGTGGTGTTGCACACACCCCCACAATATGTATATCATTGATAGATCTCCTCATGCTGAACAACTTTGCCTCAAGAACCATTGCTGTCAATCAAATCGTTCGTTAAATATCACAAATATGTTAAAAACCTATTTTGCGAACTAGTCCCTGGTTTTTTGCCCGATCGGAACCAGACCAGTCTGGGACAATTCTTTGGACTCTCTAGATCAATAATTATCAAAAAAAGTTGAACTTTGTCATTTGTTTTGCTATAACAGGGTCATTTAAAAAAAGGGGGTTGACAAAATGCACCCAAAAGCCTATAAATCCTAAAGGAAAAGTCAGAACTTCACAAAAATTGATGAGCACATGTGTCATAACGTATTCAACAAGCATGCAAAGTTTCATGGAGATCGGACTATAGGTGGCGCTATAATTGTTAAAAATATTAAAAACAATGTATACCCTATAATAAATTGCCATTATTGAAACTTAAAACTTAATGTCTTTTGATGCTTTTGTGCTTAAAGGCCTTAAAGGCCTAAACTGCTTGAACCCCGCTAAATGCTGCTTGCAGCTTTAATTTATAGTCTGTAACTGAAGAGAATTGTAACACACCCATTAAAGGAGACACACTTGTGTGAATCAACATTATCACGGCTCAGTATCAAATGTGTCTGCTTCCGTCACCTGCCTTTCTCCACGATAACACATTCATCCCTGATATCTAAGCGCTATCCTGACTTGGCTCAAACTTGGCATCCTTTCTCTCTCCCCACAGCTTTCGTCTCGACAGCTGCCCGAGCGTTTTGAATGTCCACCACATTCCGAGATCGACTCAAAGGGAGGTGACATTTCAAGTATTTCCAAAGCCTCTGTTTCCCTCCTCTGGGAAAACATTTGCCCTTTTGCTCTGTTCCAGGACCAGTTAGTTCTGTCCAGATGCTTATCGTTCACAATTGTTAGATAACCCTTAAAGCTGCGCTTGCAACAGAATAAAAGGGCAACATCCGCCCTCACCTGTTGTTTCTATGTTACCCCCCCCCACCCTCAGGCCCATCCTGGACTGGACATCCGCCTCCATGGGTCACTAGTACCCTGCCATGCCAAACAACATGCTGCACTTGACATTCATTAATTATTGATGCACCGGGCTTTAATTGCATGATCTCATGCTGGGCAGTGCTGGTTCACTTGCCCTTTTAGCAATGCAGTAACAATACAAACGTTTTTTTTTTTTTTAGAAGTATTCTTCGTCTCCGTAAAAAAATAAATAAATGAATACATAAAGTGTTCACTCTGTAGTAAGATAATTTTGGATTGATCGGTCGGTCAGTCAGTGTTTTTTTTTAACTTTTGCATGTTAACATTTTAAGTCAGATGACTTATTTTAGATCAATTGGCATATTTAGAGTGGCAATCTTCAATACTTAGCGATAGTATACGATGTTAAAAATTGGTCGAGAATTAGTTTTTTAAAAAACTAATCCCGCCCCTCCTCACACACACCCCTCCCGTCTGTGCTACCTGATCCCTGACCTATGTCACTTTTGAGTTCACATCACTACTAGTGTTGCAAAGGTTTTCAGTAATTGTTATAGCAGCACACAGCGCATCTCGTTCAAATTCCGATTGGCTCGAACAGAAACTGAAATATAATCAAGTACTTCAAGAAATATAATAACTTTGACCCGTGATGGGCGATGCTAAACGGCTAACGTTGCCAATGCCAACCGGTAGCATCATCATGAGCAAGTTGTCAAACTGATAAAAAGGGTAGGAGATGCGAGCGCCAGGCGGAGTTTCCAATGGAGCTGGTGATTGGATGAGAGGAGTTGACCAATGTAAGCTGTCTGGCTGGACAGCTTACATTGGTCAACTTCTCTGCGGCTATACAGCCAATAGAGAGAATGGATTTTTTTCATTCTTTTTTCTATTCATATTGTTAGGATTGTACTAAATAACCATAACCAGTATCTAAAGGAGGACATTAATAATGAACAATCTTTGAAATCGTATACCCTAGCTTTAAGATAACTACAGATTTACAATATTAAGGTATGTAAATAAAAGGTAATTTGGCAAAACCTACTTTTCATTACAACACCTGCAGAATAAAAGTCTTTACAAAGTTATTTAATGTCCTAGTTGATCTTATTTAATCTAGCTTGCAAAATATTGCCATTTCACTTGCCTCTGAATTTTTTTTGGTAGTTAACAGCTTCAATGTCAAGTTATTGAGTTGCATTAGCAGTGTCTGGTGCTAAATCCATAATTTGATTATGCTTCTTGCATAGTATACTAGGTGAAGAAAAGAGAGGACAAGTTCACTTTTGACTTACTTTTGTTGATTTTATGTGGCGACCAGTTGCTGAAATCAATAATGAGGAAAAGAAGTTGGTTTGTCCGATATAAAGTCTGGTATTTATTCATAGGGAATGGAAAGTCATGATTGCAATCCACTGTCACAGACTCTACATATTTTTCATGGGCATCTAATTAATTGTGCAGTTTTATGGTAATATGGCCTCATTCCAAACATAATTTGAGTGATCTTTCAAAGGCTTCCGTTTCTTGGACCTGAAGTCTGTGGGGATAGACCAGGAGGAGACTTAATTTTGCATATGCTATGGAACTATGGAACTTAAATAGAGATCCATACCGTCGGGAGCGTGCACCATTATGAAGACAGGAGCGATGTTCTAGATACATCTTCACTTTTCTTGTATTGCATGAACTGCTCTGTTTTGACTTTTAGATCCTGTCTGTATTCCTTGAAAGGCACACCAAGGGTTTTATAGGTAAGAAAGCTATACTGAATTCTATCTAAATTGAGATTCATTCATTTTGCAGAAATTTTAAACCAAAGTAAAGTCATGAAAATGGAATTTGTGCACAATAATATATTTCTCTTAACTTTACTGTGCCAAAGAGATCATGTGTCAATTGAATGTGGATATTGAATTGGTCACACCCAATGGAAGGATAACCCGGTCTCATCCCAAGATGTCATATAACTGACGTTTTGGGACGTCTTTTGACCATACGCCAATATTCGCCTTTTTAGGGCCCCCTTAAACGTCGGTAGATGAGGTTATGGGATCCTAACTCTACCCCAGACCTAAACTTAACCCTAAACCTAACCCGTCACCTAACTGACGTTAAAGGTAAAGCGTCAGTTGTATGACGGCCCGGGATCGCCATCTACCGACGTATAAGGGGGCCCTAAAAAGGCGGATATTGACGTACGGTCAAAAAACGTCCCAAGACGTCAGTTATATGACTTTTTGGGATGAGACTGTGTTGGAAACTCAGCAGGCACACAAAAGAGGAATTTCATCTAAAACATAAATAATGACATAAATTCAATCATTCATTTTAAATGCTTATTTATTCACAAATTGTTTACACGATCAGACATGTTTCACTGAAGTAAGTTCAATACTGTCAAAAATATAAGGGCATAAATATCAATGACAAAAAATGGATTTCTCAAATCTCTTATATCTTATATATTAAAGTTTGGTAGTTCAAACAGTCAATTCTACAGTTAATTTTATTTATATACAGACAAACATACATGTATTCACATGCAATATACTTTTTTTTCTATATGAAACCCTGGGACACGTCTCTTTCAAATGCACTATTACTGATATGTTTGTGACCCCATTTTGGCATGTTACACCTGTCCTTTACAATTCATGTCATTTCCTGGTTTACTTTGTGTCGTGACTGAAGTCTGCTCTCCTAATTCCATTTACCTGTCTGGAGATGTTGAAGGAGCTTATGAGTGTCTTATGCTGTCCTCGCTGTCCTTTACTTTAAGCAGCAATGATTGAGTGAACTGCCGGCGAGAGCTAAATGAATGAAGACGTGCCCTTTCCTTCCTAGAAATTTCCCTAATTAACTTTGGCACTGATGTTTGCTTAAAAATAACAACAACAACAACAACAAAAAAAACTCTGGGATTGATTTGAAATCGATTTCTGCCATATGAAGGTCAAGTCTAGAGAATTACTAAAATCTGTTTTCTGGGTCCAAATTCTTTTCTGATTTATCGACAGAACAATAGAATAGATTTTTATAATGTGTAGGAAACTATACAATGATACAAGAGCGCAGGAACACAATTGCATGTAAAACCTGTTGCAATTGTGTGACCATTTATCTTACTAGGAAATGACATCACGTGTTGAGTGCATGGTGCCTCAACATCCCTCCATATTAAACGGCAAAGACAACACAGGAGGACAAAAGCAGTGGAGTCCATGAGCCAGCATGCTGATAGACTTCCCCCGTTCCCCACGCCTGTCTCTAATCTGCATGCAGACGACTTCTATGTGGATATTTGGATTTCCTCACCATAGCAACAGAGCTGCAAAACCGTGCTGTACAACCTCTCATCAGACACAGTCGTGCCTTGGAATCGCACGGCACGCGGGAGCCAGACAAAAGGGAGATAAGAAGAGGAAAGGGAAGGGAAGAGCATACCGCTGCCCTGCACCTAATTCTCTGTGGGAATTCTCCTCATTAGGACCATGACAGCTCAGTTACAATCGCTCCAAAGTGCCAAGGGTCATGATAACAGCCGGCGGTTGAGCATTAATTCCTGCGCTCAGCTCAGAGACAAATGGAGGGATGCAAAAATGTCACTCTTTTCTCACCATGACAGAGCCTCTCTATGCTGAATCCTTTTGCGTCGGACTTCGATCGAGCGCGGGTTAACTGCGAGAGAGCGGCTGGAAGATTTACCCCCCCCCCACCCCACCTCCTCTCCTCTTCCACGTTGCCAATCTGTCCGTGCCTCTGATTTTCCACTCATTCTGCCTCTCTGGTCTCTGTTTACCTCTGTCTGCAGATTTCTCCACCCCTTTCTCTCAGTCTCTCATGTTTTCGTGCTCCCTCCCACTGCTCGCTATCTCTCCTCCCCTCGTGCCTTCAAAGCCAGCAGTCTGCTCATCACTCCAGGGCTGCATGCTACATGATCTCTTGGAAAACAGCGTCCTCGTCTTGCTCGAGCTGCTTCATGTGCAAGCCTTAAGATTTCTTGCCCAGGACAGCAGGATGCTCCTGCGCTGGCACTGATTCCACTATTTCTTTTCTCGATTTCCCCTTCCCCTCCCCTTTCCTAATCTCCTGCCCTCTGACCCTGTTCCCCTTCACCCCAGAACCCTATTCCCTCTCTTTCCCCCTTCTTTCTTGACCATGTTGCCATGTGTCTACCGGCTCCAGCCTGTCCTTGCCTTGCTCTCCTTCACTTTGTTGACTCAAGGGGATAATTGCCCAGCCACCTGCCTTTGCCCAGACCCTCACACTGTGGACTGTAGCGGCCGTGGACTTACCCGTCTTCCGGACGAGATCCCCTTGGACGTGCGGAGGCTACTGTTGGCGGACAACTGGATCCCACGGATTCCTTCGGACTTCCTAGTGCTCTACAGTGACCTGGTCTACCTGGACCTCCGCAACAACTCACTCTCACACTTTGAGCCGGGCACCCTCAGCACTTCTTCCAGGCTGGTTTTCCTGGATCTCGGCAGCAACAACCTGACCGAGATCCCCAAAGGGACTTTTGGAGAGTCGAGGAGCCTAATTAAGTTGCGCTTGGGCAACAACCCGTACCTGAGCATGGTAAATGAAGATGCTTTCATGGGTCTCACCTCCTTGCGTGAACTAGAACTAGAACGCAATGCCCTTTCCGGGCTACAGGTGAGCGCCCTGAGCCAGCTGCCCTCGCTCCGGGTGGTTAGGTTAGAGGGCAACCCTTGGGTGTGCAACTGCAACTTTGCCAACCTATTTACCTGGCTGGTGGAAAACAGTCACAAGCTTCCCAATGGTAAGTCCTTGAATTTGACATCAACCAATTGTAGCTTTTTGAGCCTTGTCTTACTGTTGCATAAACGTTACTGTATGTCAAGATTCTTTGCTATTTATATTACTCCAGATTAAACAAGGGACCTCTTCTTCTGATCTAAATTTAGCTCTCTCCCACCCCTACAATGACTACAAGGGATTTCCAGAGTAATGACAGATAAATGAGGACAGTGCCAAAACATTGTGCCATGTTTAAGGAGGCAGTGATGCCCTTATCCTCTACAGAGCTCACATTTTACATTCCATATGGTTTGTGATCATAGGACATGCTACGCATGCCGAACACCTGCTTATTCCCGCCGGGCCAGGGAGCTTGTGTGTGTGATATATCAGTCGTTTATGGACATGTTATTTATATGGGGATTTTCATCATTGCTTCTTGCTTTGATATTGTTCTGCTGTTCATTGAGGTTACAGTGATGGAATTAACCTTTTTTTTTCCTGATCTGTGATTACTTTGTGGTAGTGTTCATAGAGGTTAAAGGGATAGTATACTCAAAAATGTAAATTCTGTCATAGTTTTTTGATGTTCCAAACATATAATGTTCTTTTTTTAGGGAACATTAAGGAATAATACATTCTAAGATTGTTTCTGTGTTTTTGTCTATACACTGAAAGTCACTGTGTTGGGGTTCTGTGTTGTTTTGGACCCACTGACTTTCATTTTATAGACAAAAACTGTTGAGACATTTTTCTCCTTTATTTTACTTGGAAGAAAGAGATTTGGAATAACAAAGTTTAGTAATGATGATGGAATTTGAATTTCCGGGTGTTTTACTATACTGTGGTAATACCATGTTTTTTTTTTTGTATTTTTTGTTGTTTTTTTTACCATGTTGCATGAAATCATTTGGTATCATCATATACATGAAAGTAACATATTAACACCCTTAATGTATATCCATAGCATAAAAAGCTACGTGTTTTAGGGTACATATTTAGGTATAATATTCAGACTCAGACAGTCATAAAAAATATTTTGCAAGACTGAGAGAGAGAGAAAATGAAAGAGCATCATTCTCAGAGGAAGGGTCACTAGCAAAAAAAGAAAAAAAAAAGTCAGCTTATTCAGATATTCATTTCATTTTTTGATAAATACAGTACTGTGAAATAGATCAAGATTTTCCACTGGACACTATTTGAGATTCATCGACATATTAGAAAGAATATTTACTGAAAGCAAAACATAAATTCCTCTAGTAACTGAATTGTACATAAATATTAGTGGTTTGTATTTCTTACAAATACTTAGCTGAAATAAAATGCAAAAAAAGAAATATTAACAGTCATCATATGTTATTTTCTTCGACACATAGTTTACAGCATTTCATTTTGAAAGTTGTTGCATTCTGTTTAAATAAATATTATATACATGTAGCAAACCTGTAGATTATTGTGATAAATGACGGCCACTGTGTCTATTGTGGGTTAACAACAAAACCCACAAGCAGCATAAACCCATAAATCAGATGGTGAATAAATTGACTCTATCTCCCTCTATCTATCTGCATGCTAGATTTTACCGCAAGAGGACGGGGAGATTTACAACTTGAAATTGTATATACCCTAGCTATCATTTCCCAGTGGATAAAAAGGGAAAATAGATAACTCTGAACAAACATTATCTTATGGGCAAACACCATGCAGCCCCAGAGCTCCATTATGTGTCATTTAGCTGAGCCGCTTGCACTGTTTGTTTACGCATGAACATGACCTTACTTAAGTGCAAGGAGAAAAGCTCCTCTTGTGGAGTATCCACACAATGGCTACTGTGAAACATATATTATGCCTGCGGGTTCAACGACAAGGCTCAAGGCCAGTCCCAGACTTAAATGCATTTTTGAGCTGTTTTAACTGGAAACAGCTTAGTGACTGTACCATTGTTTTGTCTGAAGATGCAGACCAGTGATATTTTGTTACAATGCACGTTTATAAAAGCTACTTAAAGGTGTATGTGAAACCTAGTCTTTTCTAAAAAACATCTGAGAATGCAACCACAGTGAACAGAAAATCACATTAGCTATCTTTTATCATTGCATTCACATTTTCGATGTCTTCGAAATTTCAGTTTGGTCATTAAAAAGAAGTTTGTGCACCGGGTGAAATATGAGATCCCTCAGTGGCTCCGAGAAATACATTTATCATGGGCTTTCAAATCACTTATTAGAGGGTAATAATGAATTGTGTGAGAAAAGGGAGCCAAACTCACATCAGCATCAGCGTCAGCAGCAGACGGGCAGCCAAAAGTGGAGCCAAGCCTCCGGCATACCCGCCAACAGGCCCACCGTAGATGCACTCTGGAATTGAGTTAGGAGCGCACATCTCACCTCATGTTTTCCACTTATTTCTGCATCACTGGGCTCTTATGACTTGAGGAAGTCAAAGAGCAGCTGGTGATAACTACAAACAGCTTAGAATGACCTTTGTAGCGGACATAAACCGATGACTGGACTGTGCATGGACAGCTTGTCCTAATAAGCTATTCATCTAGAGATGGACTTCACCTACAATTATATGATGAATGAGATCATGCTAATTCATTTAGATTTAGTGACTGATGTGTTATGATCTAATCCATGACTGCTGCTGCAATCATTGATTTTGAATACATCAGGGTATGCTTGGTGCATTACATTTCTAGTCTATGTGATAGTAAATTCTCAGGAGAAAGAGAGTCTATAGAGAAATGGTATATTCTGCCTGAAGGTTTAGGAAAATGGAATTTTAAATCAAATTAACGTTGTAGCTGTTCTCTTCCTATCAGAGGAATGGTTTATTACCCTCTTAAACTCTTCAGTTGAACTGCTGATCTTACCCGAGATGCTTTGCGTTGGTCAGACACAATTCGCGAATGCATATCTGCATTATCAGAGCTCACCGTGGATTATCCACTTAATGAGAAGATGGATTTCCTAGCAGCAGGAACTATCTGTCCTTCTATTTCTAGCTGCATGAGAAAAATGATAGGAAAAAGAAATTGTTGGATTAGAAGCTGAAAATATTACTGTAGATTATCCTCTCACTATGGCTATATGTTACATCCTGCAATTCACTTTTGATCTGATCTCAGAGCCTCATCAATAAATGATTCCTATTATTATATTATCATTATGTTATTATATACTTGTGTGTTACAAGTACATTACAAATTCATTACGTGTTTGTTTGCAATATATACAGTAGCCATGCAATATATACATACCAATGTTGTTTTTTTTATATTTATTTTTTGGCATTTTTGCCTTTTATTAGGATAGGATAGTAGCTTGGTTGGAAGTGAGGTGGGAGAGGGAAGAGACGGGATCAGGAAAGGACCACAAGCCTGGACTCGAACTCTGGTCTCCCAAAGAACAACGGCGATAGAAGTTGATACAATTGCCCATGAGGCTATACTACAAATTGCACACTTTGTCTTCAATAACAAATGCACATTAATAAACAAATATTACTTGGCTATACTTTGTACAAAATACTATAATGTATTTTGAAAATATACTTTCAATGCATTTTACTATGGTCATTTCCAACATATATATATATAAATAAACCACTTTTAAAAAATAAACTGAATTCTCACTTAAGTATACAGTATACAAGTATACAGAAATTTTCAAAATATACCTTTAGAAAATATGTTAAAGTACAATTAATTTAAAGTTTGTTAAAAGTTGTATTTTGAAAATAGGTAAAACCATGATGCTAATATACTTTTAATATATTTAAACATAGTACAATTTTTTAGTAAATTTGCAATGTACTATTGCAAAAGGGAATATATTTCAATCAAATACAATAAAGTATACTTTTTTCACTAGGGGTCATCTGGTTTGGATCATAATGATATAGTAACTACTTAAGGGAATTTCTAGGTCATTCAAAGTCATTATAGTGGCATTTATAAGCATTTAATCAAATTAATCAATTCCAAAAAGTCCCTTTATAGAATTCCATATATTGTTTGTTTTTTCCATATCTTTGAGCATAAGACCATTTTTGTTTTGGGGAGGGCCATTTGTACTGGATGCTATTCTTTCTAGTAAATTTTAAAATGTAATTTATTTTTGTGATTGCACTTTCTAAGTTCTTTTTTGTGGTTGTGGTCATTTTCATTTAGAGACATCCTGCACTGCCTGGCTGAAAGAGGATTTCTTCGGTCAGGTCCAATCAAATTTTCTTAGAGCTTCTGAAAATGGATATTATATTACATTTTCAGACTATATTCCCCGATATTATAGTCAAAGAGCGATGGATATGTATATGCTTAACATGTGTTTTGGTAATTTTGGTAAAGACTTTGGACTTTGTCTTACCTATATATACTGTATATATATATAAATCATATTCATCAGAAACAGAGTGCCAATTTTATTCTCAATCTCTGCTGCAGTTCAGTTTCAGATACAATTATCTAGCACACATGCAAACTGATATGTTAAGGTGAAATGTTAAGTACACACTTAGTTCAATAGCATAGTATTTGCGATCTGTATGCGTGTGTTCAATGCTTAAGTATGTGGCATCCTCACTATGTTTGACAGATGGAGACTCGTTTGGTGAATAGAGAGTGTCTAGATAATCCTCTGTGAGCATCAACAATCAGAATAAATGAGAGCCCATTACAGTCGATCACTGCCAAGCCTGGTTTATATCAAGACCAAATCACTTGAGTTAATGGTCACAGGAAACAGTTTTTTAAGTCCGTACACACTCACATAGACAGACAGAGACGTATATACTGGATGGATGGCTCTGCTTTTATTGACACCACTGATTCTACGCTTATCGTGTCTGGTGTGTAGCTAGTGCAGACTTGCTCTGCGTTTGTTTGTGCTGGTGCTCTTTCACACATTTTGATTTCCCATGTGCACATGTGATCATACGCCCCTGAACACAGACTAGGCAGCCTGGCAGAGTGGGCTGCAATGGATAATGGCTGATGTAATGATTTAATGGACGGATGGG